CAGGCTTTACAAGTATTGTTTCCCTAGCCTCTTCAAGCTTTACAAATGATAGATAGATGATTTGGTTTGAGTGTTTGGTTTACTCTCACAGAGAGGATACAAGAATTTTCTACACTGACTAAGGTGCATGTTCCTAAGTTACACTTAAAACTCTTTAGTCTACAAAGATAAATACACTATAGTACATTTGACTCTATAAGCTCTGTCTTTGGTTTCATTACTTCATGGGCTTGATATCACTATTTTTCAATGCCAGCCTTTCAAGGTTTGAAGTTATGACATATATATAGTCTTGTAAAATTTTCGCGTTGCAAATGTCCGTTGAAGTAGAATATAATCGTTCATGACTAGTTCGATCTTCTCATTTAATGCATTAGATCTTGCATTAAATGTTGCTTCCTGTTTATAGGCAATGTGTGAAGTCTTCTTCATTTTGTTAGCAGCAGTGTTTGACTTTATCTGAGACCTAGGTGCTTTTTGTCCTTTTTCAGTCGCGTAGCTGTAGAGCGTTGTCTTTATTTGAAAAAGTGATGTACTTTTTCTAACACATGCATTATTTTGCTTTTGACTTGCTTTTCTTCTTCTTTGTCTTTTCCTTTAATCATGCGATCATGTTGAGAGCTTTTGTATGATCGTAGATGATGCCTGAGTTGTCTTTTGAGACTTGATTCTTCAAATTCTCTCATGGCAGTCTTTGTCTACATCTGATAGTCAATATGCATCTCAAGTCTTGATCTTCGTCTGAGCATTTTTCATTAATGCTTTTGACTTCCTTTGGTCTGGTTAACATTGTAAATGGACAAACTTTCTTTTCATCTAGAATAAAATCTCAACATATAAATATATTTTTAAAATCAAATTTACCTTAGTAGAATCAAATTATCATATCCAACCTAAAAATTTAAAATTTGAGAAATTTGAATTGACTTATCCAAATAAAATATTTTAAGAATGATAGAAATTGAAATCAAAGTAATTCAAATATCAAGAATTTAAAATTTCTCAACTAAACACACTATAAGGGAGCATAATTTTTACTCCTTAGTAAATCTTATTGTCAAAATGGCAAGAGGTTTTCGTGACTTAAGTCGTGTCCACATTCTCCGTGAAGCAAATCAGATAGCGGATAGTTTTGCAAAATATGGTTTCTCAATAGCTGAAGGTTTTTCTATCTTTATGGGTATCCCTAGTTGGGTTAAATTTCCTTTGCTTGCCGACATGTCAGTTGTACAATTTTCCCATGATTTTTAGTTTAATGGCATTGGGCTCCTAGCCCCGTTTATTACCAAAAAAAAAAAAAAAAACAGCTAACAAAGCAACTTCGTAAACCCTACTGAGGAAATCCCAGAATATTTGTATCAGTTAACAAACATTATACATAACTCATTTTTATTGGTTCCTCTTCCTTAATACTTGCTCTTGGATTAAAAGATCGGACAAAAATGTCCAATGCTTTAGAACCAAAAAATCATCCGCAATATGCTCTTGTAGTCTCACTAGACTAGCAAAATTTATCAAATTACTTGCTCCATTTTTTTAGCTCCTCTTTACATGTTATGCAAGCACCACTCTCCATTGACTAAAATGATACAATCCTGACTCCTATTGCTAATCATTATCTCAAAATACATAATAATAAACAGAAACAGATCCTACTCTGACCCACATCCTATGTCCATTTCTCATATATAGCATCTTCACTTCATGATGCTGCTTATGCTGTATGCCTGTATTATATCTTATTGTCAAGGAACAGTGCTAGTAAGTAATCACATTGAGTTACTTAAATAAGCACTAATACTTACGAATTTAAAAGCAAGTTTTTTTAGCTGAAAGTATTCCAATCAACAACTCAAACTGAGGGTAAAAAACAGTATGGATGGGAGAAGAAGAATCACACACTCAAACAACAGCAGAACTAGTATGCAAGTTAAAAATAAAAACATAGATAAAAAAAATCCAAGCTTTACTCTCCAATAGTATACAATAATTTCAAAAAATATCAAAACTATTAACAAAACAACAATACAAAATTCAAGAAAAGAATGAAAGTTAAAATAAAAAAAATGGAAATAAAAACCGAATCTCCGAATATTTACGTCAGATGCATGTAGATTGCTAAGACAAAAATAAGCAAGTATTGGTTATTTTGCAGCATCGAATAAAAGAGCATGTTTTATGAGAAGGAGACTGAGTTTGAGAGAAATTCAGATATAGATGGTTTCATAGTTTGTGTTTATTTCTCTTTCTAAATTGAGATTTTAGTGCGTGTTTGCTTCGGCTTTTGGACGTGAAAATTCACGTTCATGAGAAGTAAAAAATTGTAGCTTCCACGTAAATTTATTTCAAAACGTGGAGAGAGAGTGAAAAATTACGTTTATAAATTCAAACCAAACACACACTTAAATGTTGACTCTTTTTCACTTTTTATTTTTTCTTTTCCTTTTCCTTTCAAATGCAAGCCCAACGTTTTTCCTTTTCCTTTTCTCAAATTTTTATTTTTTTTAATCCAATGTTTAATTAAATAAAAAAGTAAAGTGTAAATAAAAAAATTATACCGTATAGGTTGTTTATAAGATTTTACCATTAGAGCAAAACTTGTAAAAATATAATATAAATTGTTTAGGAGTATTGTGGTATAATGAATTTCATTTAAAGTGAAATAACCACCTCGATGAATTTCTTATAAAAATCAACATTGAAGATGCTGAATTGGGTCCGTAACATGAAAAATAATATGGCAGAGGTATATACTTTCACAGCACGCGTGAAAGATAATCTTTCATATATTAAAAAAAGATACAAGACTCGCAGCATAAAATTTCAGAGGCAAAGCTCCAATTCTCCATAGTACCAAAGGTCCTCCCTATCCATGCACCAGATAATTATTATTGCATGACAGGATACAAAGGAACTGAATTTGCTTAGTGTCTAGGAAGTTGCTCATAAGTAATAGTAGCCTAGGAAATAATCTCCACCAAGTCTAATAAGAGACTATATATATGGATGATATGCAAGACCAATGTACGATTACATTCACTTGAATAATAAGCTGTTTCATTCTCTAAGTTCTCTCTTTCTCAAAATTCTCCCCCTCTAAATTCAACAAGCAAGTTACCAGTAATTTAATCCTTACTATTCATTTTACTAAATAGTATACTATGGTTTGCAAATGTTCATGCACTGTTGCACAAGAATTTTTATTGAGATCCTAAAGTGCTGCCTCCTAGGAAATATAGCTATTATACTTTTGTGGGCTTTATAATATTTTTCCTGTGCCAACTGTTTGATTCTTGTTAGTTTTGTATTTAAGACAGTTGTTTGTAAATACACATTAACCAGTGTTATGTTGGTCTAGCTTTGTATATTTGTTCTAGGTACCCCTTTTACCTTCTTTAATAAAATTGCTTTGCTGATTAAAACGAAACACTCAACATATCACAGTAATGGGTTCCAAGCATCAAAAGGTTGGGACCAAATCTTCGTCGAGCAACTCTTTCTGCTCTTTTATTTTCTTCTCAAGCTTTGAACACCAGAAAGACAATTTTATTATATAATCACAAGCACTTAGATCTTATTCCTTTCTCCAATCTTAACCTTTATATTATTGATTATAGGCTAAAACAGCCCTAAGACTTTCTAGTTTCTACCAATCCCAAAAGCATACCATGGTATATTGTGATGTCACAAAATCTGCAGATTTGAATGTGTAATATATTTTAGTATGAAAAAAATTTCATCCTTCATAAGTACAACATATACATGTATTTTTTAGTGCAATTTTCTAAGTTTACAACATCAAGATTAAGGCTGGATTTAAGCAAGTAATAAGAAACTTCATCCTGTATGCTTTCTCTTCTTTGAACCCTTGCCAGTAGAGAAAAATCCTGTGGCATACCGTGAATTGGCAAGCTCCCGAGGCACCGCTGCTCCACCAGATTTCAGAACATCAATTAATTCTGCAAAGACATTCTTATTTTCCTCATTCACAAAAACTATGCCTTGACCTTCCTCTCCCATTCTAGATGCCCTTCCAATCTGATGAACATATTCCTTAATGGAATTAGGCATGTCAAACACAATTACCTGTCTTACTCCCAGTAGATCAACCCCCCTACCCAAAATCCCAGTAGCCACAACCACTGGGACCTCACCCACCAAAAAGGACTGCATTATTTCTCTTCTTTCCTTCATAGACTTCTCCCCATGAATTGAAACTGCTTTAATTCCTGTGGACACTGTAATTGCATTAGCCAGGAGATCTGCCCCAAGTCTAGAGCCGACATATACTACAACAGGTGGCGTAAAATGCTTCTTACTTGCCAAAATGTCAAACAGCTTCTGCTTCTTTTGCTTTGACTCAACCCAGATAGCTAGCTGCTTCACGGCCTTATTTGGTCTATTAGGCTCTCCAACAGAGATAACCACTGTACCTTGCGCCAGAGAGTTAATCATCTTCTCTAAATCATTAGACATTGTAGCAGAATACATCAAGACCTGAGGTTGTGACAGGGCCCTATATATTTGCATGACCTGATCTCTAAAGCCCCTTTGCAGCATGCAGTCCACCTCATCCACAACGAAAGTCATCACATCATCTAAGTCAATCTCATGCTTCATTAAAAGATCAACAAGCCTTCCTGGGGTTCCTACTATCAATTCGACCCCTTGTTGAATGCGGTGAAGTTGTCCAGCCATGGCCTCACCGCCAACCACAAGAGCAGTTTTGAAAGGCAACCCCTTTCCAAGCAATTTAGCATGTTCTTCAACCTGTATACAGAGCTCTCTGGTAGGTGTTAACACCATAGCTAGAGGCTTCTTATCTGAAACATATTGCCAACGATGACTCGCACAACGAGAAACTATTGGAATGAGAAACGAAGCAGACTTCCCAGATCCTGTATCAGCCAAAACGAGCATGTTTTTGCCTGTCAAAGCAGCAGGTATTGCTTGCATCTGGACAGGTGTAGGCATGTCATATCCTGCTGCTTCTATATTGTGGAGAAGCTTGTCAGGGAGGTTACAGGCAGAGAATGACAAAACTGGTGTCACTACATCATTACCCTTCACATGAATGTTAAGTTTCTTTCTAATTATTTCAACCTGATCACTAGCCATTGATGGAGTTCCCGATTCATAATCGGTACCTCTAACATAAAAGCACTCATCAGCTGCAGGAATCTTTCTAGGCGGTGGAAGACCTCCAATAGAAGACGACGATTTGGCCATTCTGCAGAGCAGTGCTTGTTTGCATTCCAAACTGCAAACATCATCATCAGTTTCATCACATATGTATTCACCGTAGCGGCCACATATAACACACTTGGGCTCACCTGGCAGAGCCAGTCTTTGGTCCCTAGAACTCAACTTGACATCATCATTTCCAGCATCTAAAATCACAAACAGAAAAATAAGCTCAATTGGGTCATTGTTTTTCGAATTCCAAAACCACACCTCTTGAAGACGTAGCATCTAGATCAACTATCAAGGCACCAAAAGTAATAAAAACAAAAAAAGTAAGTCTAAAAAATTAAAATACCACAAAGATTATTCAACACAGTACACCCTCAATTTCATAGTGTTACCTTCTCTCCTAAATGTTCATTAAAAAAAAAAGTTTATATAAACATTAGAAAACATGCTAAATAGTCTCCTAGACATTGAAAAACCCTTTAAACTGGTCCCTCAATGCTAGTAAAATTATCAACTTAGAGACTAAACTAATGCATATTAATACTCGAGGAACCATTTATATAGTTTTATTTCTTCAAGGATAATTCAGAAGAGAATAAATGAATAACACGAGAGAAGCCAAATTGGTGGTGTATTCACAATATACTGAACAAGCGGTGAGCATTTATCCCACTATGCGGATTAAACTACACAATTTTCTTTTCTCAAAAACCAAATTCTCGAATAAGTTGATGGATGAGAGAAAACGGCACATAAATTAAAGCATGTAAATCAAAATTACGATGAAAATTTCTGAAGGCGTTACCATTGGGTGCATCAGCATCGGTAGCGAGAGATGGGTCATTGTGATTGGCGTGAGAATCAGTCATGACGGAAAAGGGTGCAGAAGAAGAGGGTTCGCTTAATCTACGTTAGGGTTATGAAAAATAATAGAGCGTGCAATGCTTCAGTTACTCAAAGGTTACAGGGAGGACTAAAACTGAAATTGATGCTGAATTAAGAGGAATGCTTCAGGAACAGTAATGGTGGTGTGCTTAGACGAGAGGGGGAAAATGGAGAAATGAAAGCAGGAAAAAAGAGAGCATAATAATGTATTTTTATTTAATTAATAATTACTGATAAAAAATAATATTTAAATACATTTCTTTTAAAAAAATTACAATTTTTTTTCTCTATCTTCTGTTTAAAATAATCCAAGTAAAATTATCATTTTGAAAGACTTACAAAGATTTCAGAAACATAGCAGATATCGCAAGAGTTTTGAGATCGAAGAACAAGGATATTATTTGATTACTAAGACACTCGATGATTACAACTGAGGAGAACTTCTCCTTATATAGACTAACTAGGACTGGGTAAATTACAAGTAGGGGTAGTGACTCACCTAATAATACAAGGGTAAGAAAGGAAAGAGAAAAAAGTACAATAATTTACATAAAGTGTCTTAAAAAGTTTCTTGTCTTCTTATGGAGCAGGTAACATGTCTTTTTCTTGATGAGTTGTTGATAAGCTGTCTTGTGTCGTTTTGTGATGCTGACGAATAACTTTATCTTGATGAGTTGTTGATGAGCTGTCTTGTGTCGTTTTGTGATGCTGGCGAATAACTTTATCTTGATGTCTTTAACAGGTGTCTCTTTCTGTACTGAAATAATTAAATCTTGAGATTTTAGTCAAACATATCTTCATTGCGAAGATAAAGACTAGATGATATTGAATCTGAAGAGCCTATTTCTTCAGGCTGAGAATCATCTTGAAGTGCTCTAATTAACTGGAGTCTTGCTTCGAACTCTTCTTGAGAGGTGGCTGAAGCTAGTTCGACCATAATTTTGCTTTTCTCAGCCAGAAATTGAGTGTCTCTAGAAATTCTTTTCTTGCTTTCTTGAGTTAAAAAGGCTAGAGAGTTGTTTTGAGCCCATTCTTTGATTCTTGATTTACTGATGAGATTCATATCAAACTTGTTCCACCATTTAATTTTAATACATCTTGAAAGAATTTTTTAAAGGAACATTGTCATAGGGTTGCCTGAAGATATAATCCCAAGTAACAATCCAAGTAACATTTTGGGATGCAACAAAGGTAATCATCTTGTAATTGGGTAAAAATGTTGTAACTTCTTTAAAATAGTCAAAGTTTTCCGAAACCTCTTGTGGAAACAATTCTCTAATGGGTCCCCAAGTGTAAAACCATTGAAGAAACCATTTTGGAAATTTTAATGAGATTCCTCTGCGAAACCAGAAGAACCATGAATGGGTTTTGGGTTTAAGATATAACATGTAAGTCCATGCCATGGTATAGTCATAATAGGTGTAAGTCTGAGGTTGAAACTGTCTTGAAAAGGATTTAGGTTGATAAATGGGTTGTCCCCATTCTTCAGGTGTCATAATTTTGAGTATCTTGGCTTTGGAATAGATAATGTTATTGTCTTTATCTCTGGAATGGAATAACTCTATTGAATCAGAATCAACTAAAATAAATTCATAGAAGATTCTCGGGTTTAAGAAGTTTTGATAATGGGTGTCTTTTGGGAAAATGGTATTGATTAATTGTTCTCGAGAAAGGTTTTTCCACTCTGGTTCTATTGGCATAATATCTATATGAGTATCTTTGGTGATATAATTTAATTCATAAGATCTTGAGTCTGATGGAGTGGTTACTGGGTTAGTGTTGTGGGTAATATTCTTGGATGGAGATTGAGAAATCTGTTTTGAAGGAGAAGGTATTGAACTTGGTTCAGGGGCATGTCCTAAGGCTGCTATTGGGTCGAACTTATTGTGGAATAGTAATGGAGATTGAGA